GAAATGTTCACTATCTGCTGAACTGCGCAAAGTACCGGTCATAAAAATGTGGGGGGGTTAATGGCAAGGGATTCAATTACTTTCACGACAGGTATACTACTTTGTTCATTTAATGTGTATCACATAGTTCCCATATTGCAAGAGAATTATGTAGAAAAGTTACAACGGTGGAGTGAAGTCATACTTCCCCTTTTTAATTCCAAAGTGACAAATGGGGAAATCCTGAGCCAACAAATTTTCCACTGACAATGTAATCACATCATCTGTTTAAGCTTGCTCCAGGCACACACTTTCCAATCATCTAAACAAACACATAAAAAGTGATTAATGTTGCTCTTTAATCAGTCAAACAAGGTTGTGACAAGGTCTCCAGCACTTTTCGCCTCCTTCTGCACTGGCACATTGTTCACCCACTATGAAAAGTGGAGAAGCATCCTCATGAGAGAGGGAATCGAATTTGGCCTACCATAGCTCCCATGAATGAGTACTGCCGATACAACCCACCGTGGTGGTGTTTTTTTTTTTCTTTGATCTATGAAATTTAATGTAGTGATCCTTTGGGCTTCAAACCGTTTATTTGGTAAACTGAAATGTGATTTGCGCATATCGTAGAATTAAGATTTCCTCTGTCATATAACAACTTCAGAATGTCACCTGTAAAAGAAAAAAAAAATAAATGACTATGATTAATTAGCAATCAATCGATGACATTTGGAGTTGTTCAAACCAAAGCTTTATGGATTTCTTATCATATAACCGAGATTTTCCAGGTGCCAAACTGCAACGTGAAAGAGATAACGGCCCCTGGACTGAGCGTCAAGACAAGTACGATTACGCGGCTGCATAAAGAAACAAATCCCCCCCCCCACCCTCACTACCTAAAATAAAAATCAGTTTGATCTCAGAACTAGTCGAGGTATATGGAAAAAAAGAAAGAATTATTTTAAATGGAAAAAATATATATTTATTGAATATATCAGTTGAACTCACTAGTCACAGAAAATGTTGAGTTTTTGTTGACTACAACTATAGAAATAAAAACTAACATGCAAGACTAAAATTGACACTAAATGTTAAAATCGTTGATAAAATTAACACAAGTGCAGCCCGATTGGCTATCACGTGATCGCCTTGTCTGAAATAGCGATTACGATCAATCGTTCAGCCCTACTCCCACCTATCAACAGCGCCAAACACAGATTCATGATGTGACAAACAAGGCGATGAACACAGTATATCAATCAACATTAACCGAGTGAAGTGGCCCGCTAAAAAAATTGGCAGGAATTATATTTTCATCATTTAATGATCTGCTGTCGCTTTCCAAGACTGATTAATAGGTGGCTCACTTGACAGAGTGTCGAGAAATCAGTTCAAGTCCCCAGTGTACAAGACATGAAGAAATCTGTTGATCTCTCTGACAGCATAACAATTTCATAAACTTTATCAATAAAAAAAGGATTGTTTTTGACTTTCAGTTTGTGATGAATGGAAACACTCAAATTTAGCAACAAACAGCTTAGTTTGATTTCCAGCCACTTGTTGCTTCTTTTATTTAGCCCCAACTAGGCTGAAGCTTATGAACAGTAGCAAAAAAGTGTGTGTTCTTGAATCTGTGTGTGTGTGTGTGTGTGTGTGTGTGTGTGTGTGTGTGTGTGTGTGTGTGTGTGTGCGCGCGCGCGCAAGTAGCTCTGATCCCGCTATAGTCCCAAAGTTTGGAACAATGGCATTCCTGTGCTGCTAGCTGCAGGTGGCTGTGGAAACCCAATCCCAAAGCAAGGCTCGCTAGCACACGGAGTGCCGAGAATGCTGCTGCCTCCCTCCGGAGACATGCACCAGAATGGAACTATTGTTCCTGACGAGCTCAGAGCCACATTAGATGTAACAAAATTGCCGTGGATGACAAAAGTTTGCTCAGATTTACATGTAGACATTGTTCACTTTTCGTTCCACCGATTGACAGGTTGAGAGGAAAGTGATGCCCAGGACTGGCCTAGAAATACACCTGCCATTCAGGAGGGGGAAAAAAAAAGAATAAATATTTTCACTCATTTCAAGATCTATTTGTAATCAACAAATGAAGTGAAATTGGATCATCTCTCCCAGCATCCCAATGATCTCTCGTGGCACATTGGTTCGAAACGACTGATTTATTAAACTAAAAAGCCCAAACAAGCATGCTAATGTGCTGAAGCCCGAACACACTCTCAACACACACACAGCACAGGAAACGCATCATGTCGAGTCCACGGCCTTGAAATGAGGAACATGAATCATTTCCTCCTCATATCGGGTAGTCATGCCGTCACACTAGTTTCTAGCGCGCTGAAAAACAGACTGAACGCTGGTAAAAAAAAAAACATACAATCATATTTGTAGCTACGTGTACACAGACAACCATTGAGTTTACCCCAGCCTTTATCGAGTCAAGGCGCATATTTTACATGAAAAATATCTCATGGCAGAGCACCAAACAAAAATGTCAAAAAGAGGATACGCAGGTTAATTACAGCACTTGTAAACCCTCACAAAAGCAAGTAGCATTCTATCATATTTTTTTTAATGGCACCACACTGAAAAAATGTCACTTTACTACAATGTTAGGTAGTCAGTGTACAGCTTGTATAACTGTGAATTTGCTGGTTCCACAAAATAATTCAACATACAGCCACTAATGTCCAAACCAATGGCAACAAAAGTGAGAACAGCCCTTTGAGAAAATGCCAAAATTTGTGTTAATATTATTTGTGGGCAAAATTATTTTCCAGCACTGCCCATGGAGGTGAGCCGAGCCTCACACGGTGGCGCGGGATCCCTCTTCCAATCCTTCATGACAACATCATGGATTCAGGGAATGTTAAAAAAAAAAAAATAACTCAACCTCCTCCACCTTTGATAGTAATAACACCAATAACTGCCCCCTATCAACAAGTCAGATCACACCAAGCAACATTTTTACAGAGGGGTGTTGTCACTTTTGTTGCCAGCAGATTAGATATTAATTGCTGTGTGGTGAGATAATTGGAGGTTTTTAAACTCCGCAATGATGACTTTACGATTAACAAAATCTTCTGTGCTGTCCAATGAAACTGTGGGGGGGAGGTGTACTCACTTATGTGAGATACTGTAACTATAGAAGACTGTTTACTAGCCCAGAAACTGTTCTTCCTGTCACTGTCGCTTTTACTGTGCATTATTTATAGGAAATAAATAATTTTAGGAACAACTATGTAGTACTGGATCATGCGGCACACCAAAAGATATTTTACAGCACACTGATGTGCTAAAGCACAGTGGCTGAGCATCATTGCTTTAAGGCAGTTTCCCCAACCAAGGGTCTGCGTACCTAAGGATGAGTACCGAGCACTGCTACCAAACTGGCCCCGGGGCTGAATTTTTAAAAACTGTAGTATTGATAAGCTCCACTCTTAACGGTTCTGTTAACAGTCTTGGAGAAATTACTCAAATTAATTTTTGATGCATTTATACTATATGACCTTGATTGCACATTGCACCTCTCTGATATAATTTCAAACTACAGTACTTTGTAACAGTAAAATTATGTTCATCTAAGATGCATATTCACATTTGGAAGCAAGCAATCTCACCCCAGTGCTGCAGCACTGTACGTGAGGTACCTCTGACTCCTTCCAGTGCCAATGTCGTGCTGTGTGATCATATGATGACATAAGTAGAATTACAGAAGAACGTCAATCGTGTCATCTAACCCTACACTTTTTACTCATGTTATTTTGATGTGAGGGATCGCTATTTTTTTAAGGCTGGTGATGACTCCGCCGTCCCAGCCCCAGCTCCTCGGGCTAATGAAGCCGTACCGTCATGGCATCACCAGCTTGGGAGCACGGGCCTCTAAGTCAGCAGCTTTCGAGGCTCCGAGGAGTGAGGTTTTACTAAGGTACATTCACGCAGCAAAAGCTGGTGTCCTTCACATTGGGTTAGCTCTGTTGCTACGAACGTAGCAGCTGAGCGTTTGACTCTAGAGATGACTAACCGATTTAAGGCTCAATGTAACCATTACGTTGACGTAAACATTCAGTTATTCTTGTTTTGATTGGTTATGCCTGGCGATTGGAGAGGGATGGAGAAACGACATCGCAACATCGCTGCTCAGCCAGAGCCGAATATGAACCCTGCACCTGTGCACTGTGGGGCGGACGTCCTAACCAGTCAAACACCATGTTGCCAGAAAACAATGCCTAAGAGTTAAAGAATTAAAGTTTACAACGTTTTATAAAGTATGATGATTTTCTTTTCAGAATTAGTTGTGTTAAATCCTATTCTTAGAGAATAATCAAAACGTATGAGTGATGGGTATTCATACTGTGACAAAAAAAAAAGGTTCAGGGTGCATGAGGTAAGAAAGGTTGGAAACCACTGCTTTAAGGAACATGACAGGTTGTCATTTTCATTGGCAATGATGAGGAATCCATTTTCCCATCACTATCAATGTCAACATTGTTAATGCATTCTCTCTTCACGCAAACCAGTGTAAAGATCACCAAGTGGCCGTTACGTGGAATGTAATTAAGTTGAGTACGAGGGTAATCAACTGATTGAATCATCTACCCTCAGAACAAATTTACAGATAGTGATACAGACCAAATCTATAGTACAAAAATATTCATTAATAGAGGCTGTGGTGCAATGATAAAACTGTCCTCGGTACAGCAAAATGGTGTGCAATATGACAGAATGAATGTTCCATCACAAGTCTGCGTGTTTTTTTTTTTCGTTAAAGCTCACTGGTCGTGTCACGGCAACTGAAGGCTGAGTAACAGTCACGGAAAGTGACAATTAGCGTTTTAAGGGTGGTCGCCATCCTCCCTCCGTTAACTCCGGTGCTTCTGTCAACAAGAAGCCCGCTGCCATAAGCGCCAGTCCTCGACAACGAACATCTATCACGTTCGCCGGCGCATGGTTTATTATGTGGCAAGAACAGCGGCAAGGTCGCGGAAGTGAAAAGAATGCAGCTCGCTTACCTTGATTTAAAAAAAGTGACGGGGCATCCCAAGCCCGCCCCAGGTTAGCGTGCAAGCCACAAAACTCCCCGACAAGGGTGCCAAGTGTCGCGGCTAAAGTTAGCTAGCTCGGTTAGCTTCTCCGGCTAACGACTGGGGGCGCGCGCTCCTCCTCCTCTCTGCCGTCCAACACCAACCGGTTACCGCATGAAAAAAAAAGAAGCTTAACGTAAGGCGTGGGGCGTCACACACATCTACACGGGCGGCGTCCGTCGTCTAGAGCCGTAACGAGGTGGGACATCCATGAGGGGAGACGGGCGGGTGAGGGGAGAGAGAGGAGTCCACGGCTGACTGAGGTCCGTCCCTCTCGGCGGCCTGAGGGGCGGACGTGCTGCCTCGGCCGGTTCCTTATGAGGGAGGGAAGGAAAGAACGATTTGGCTGCTGCTGCTGGTGATGATGTGAGGACCGAACGCAGGATCCAGCATCGTTGCTCATCCCCCCCCTTCGTTCTCTCAACCCGGAAGAAATCAAATTGAACCCCCAAATCATGTTCATATTAAAAAAGAAACGTAAACGTTATCTGTGCGCTTTAAGATGTAACTTATTTCACAAATTCCATTTATTCAATCTTATCCTGAGGGGGAGATTACCATTAAACCTTAACAAAACTGCTATTTGGAAATTGTCAAATTAGACAACTGGTATGTTTGGAAATTGAAACGTGGAAATCAAAAGATTTTATGTAGTTAATTTTCTTAGTGTAGAAAGTGATCACAGCTGTGCTGGAAACTTCATATCAAATGTTTGTGGTCCAAAATATCAAAAAGTATTGGACTACTGCGTAAATGTATTTATATTTTAGATCAGAAGTCACTAGAAATGGTGTACAATGCACTTATTAATTCACATTTGTCATACTGTGTTGCCATATAGGGAACACATTTAAAAACACATCACACAACATTTAATTTTACAGAAAAGGATGATAAGGATGATTCATTATGCTGGGTACTTTTTTCATACAAATCCATTATTTTCAGAATCAGGTAATTTAGAATTCTGAGACCCAGTTAAATTTAAAACAAGTCAAACTTTGTTTAATTTTGTTTAAAGTATTCCATACTTGATGAGAAAGTAACACCCAAAGCCTACCATAAATTCAACCCAAAAAGCATTATCATCTCAGTTTATGGTTGCAAATTGTGGCATAAACGAGATGAGAACTTAAAAATGTACATTAATTTAAAACAATTCAAAAGGAATTGATAACAAAAAATATTGTCTATGTGTTGGGCAACATAAATATACACCAGAGTGTCCCCATGAGAGATAATAATAATTAGAATAACAATAATAATCATGATATTTTTTTTAAAAATCTAGTTTACATTGATTTTTATATGTGGATGTTTAAATTTGTCACAGTATGACCATGATGCGTAGTAGTTTTATGGCAAAGTGTAAAAAAGACAGTATTAATCAAGTTTCTTGCTTGGATCAAAATGATTTAAGAAGAAAAAAAAACACCCCTTTAGAGCCAGACATGAATTTTTCTGACTATTTGCAGACTATCTCGACTTAAGTGAAGCACCAAGTGCAGCATGTTTACAACGTTCTGGGACACAGACACACACAAGACGCCCACATGAAACTTGCCCAGCCGTCTTTCTTCAACACTATTTTTGCAATATTGCTACATTTGCTTTCCTTTCATGATGCCTTCTTTCCTCTTTTTGAGGTACCCGATGAACCCAAATTAATCTTAGGGTTGTATGTGGCACCATGATGTGGTGTCATAATGTGAACTAATGGACATATATGTTGCATTTTACCTGCCCAACGTCAAAATGATATAGTCCTCCCATCAAGAGCTCTTGCATTCATTTCTGTTAAATTGACCTTCAGTTGAAATTCAAAGCAATAGGGCTGCCTTCCACAAATTGTGAGTTACTTCCAGGTTTGTTTTTTTTAAACATCTCAAGGCAAATAAAATAGATCAACTTTTTAAAAAGTCTCATTTGATCAACACTTAAAAAAATGTAATATCTGAAATTTCTGTAAAGATTGAAATTTTTTAACACAGTGGTTTTGAGTCTGACACCACAATAAATGTGCTGTTCTTTTTGTATTAGTGTCTTTAACAGCTGAGAGTAATGCGGTTTCTTGATAGCATGCACTTATGAATTGCAATGTTTTAGGATCCTGCTTGTGCATGTGAGTGAAGAGCGTGGCTTTGGTCAGTGACTTGGGGGAGTGATTAATGACACGAGGCTACATTGGAATCTTGCAAGCACTTTTAACACTGGAAACTTCCCCTTTAAACATAGCTGGTATTTTAGCAGATTTCAACATTTTTGCTTTGCGAATGACAGTCTACAAGCTGCTAACCTCATAAAAACACCTCAGCTTGTGCTGGAAGGCTTACCAGGCAGCTATTGAGGCTTTAAAAAAATGCTTTGTCAAGAAGAAAAACACAGTAAAAGAGTTGTTAGAGGAAAACTGGCTCTGCTTCACCATCACAAAGAAGATGTAGTGTTTATGGTGAGCAGTTCTCCAGGCTGGGGAGTGTCAAACGTCACGACTCCTGGCGCAGCCTTTTTGTCAGCCCACTTTATTACCTGTGCAAGAGCAGCACTTGGGACTGCTTAGAATGTTTCCTGCAGCTAGATGTCTGCACTGGGGTCATTTTCTTCAATGGAGGCCAAGTTGTCGCCCCAATTCAGAAGGATAAATCTTGCTCTTGATTTGCAGGGCGTTCCCCAGTGTCACATTAAGTATGGGAAGTATGATGCAAAATAAGAAATGCTATTGTTTTTTTAGGACTGTGTTTTACAACAGAGAGGGGGAGAAACAAACCTTTCATGACTGATTTGATCCTTATACGTTGTGTGTATAAACAGTACAAGGCCAAAAGCCGTTACTGGTTGTAATTCTCTGGCATAGAGGTCACCAACCGATTTGACAGTGAGAGCTACTCCTTTGGTGTTGATTCATGTGATGGCCTATTAGTTTGATATACACTTCTGCAATAACATTTTTTTTTTCTCAAATGACTTTAGTGTTACAGTAGTACAATTTTCAAACATTCCTAGGAAATCACAATGTCCCATCACTGGTGAGCTTTTTTTTTTTTTTTAACAGGCCTGAGAGCCACTCATGTGATAGTAGAGTACAATCTGAACCCCCCCCCCCCAAAAAAAAACAAAACAAAGAAAACTGATGAATGATGAGTATGACATCCTCCTTTACCAATCTTCCCCAAAATTGTTTCTGGCCCACTGTCCCAGGACCCAAATTTAATCAAAATACTAACTTGACATTTTTTTCTATGTGAGGATAATTTCATATGTTTTGTTCCAATTTAGTATTACAGTTTTAGGTAATGGGATAAGTAAGATATTTTCCAGAGCTGCAAGAAATGAACCTGCTGATATATAAACTAATAATAACGTAGCACAATCCAGTAAATGCATTCATTGCAACAAATTATAATGAACCTTTTGTTGCCATATTCATCCACAATAAACAACAGTAAAAATTAATTAAACAAATGGCAACCCAATGAAAATACTATGCACACAATTTTATGTGTTATGCACCTTATGATACTTGTGGAGCGTGGACAGAAATGTACCCCGTATCCATTCCTGACGCTATAGATGACAACATTGACAATTAACGGAAAAAGGTCAAAGTCAGCGACAAAATCCAAGAAGCCAACAAAACAAATACATACAAATGGGGGAAAAAAGCAATGAGGATAAAATTACGTGGCTTAAACCTAGAGTAATTCAACAAATTCAAACAAAATGATGCCTAACATTTGTACTATGCCTACTGTTTTACTGTTTGAAAATTAATGTTGTGATGAAGGCTCTCAAAACAAGAAAGCACATTTTTTAAACGAGGACTATTTCACGCTGCAGTTCATACATCATATAATGACAATTCTGTGCCAGAAAGAGGCCTCCTATATAGAGGTGGGCGGTAAAGATTTGAAACAGTCTCTTGACATTTCATAGAAGGCTATCTGCCTACTTGCGCAGACATGCGTGTGAGCTATCCATTCCCATTATAAACATTGACACACATCCAGCACCAGCCAGCACACAGATCAATAAGTAGCTTTAGGCCCAAGCTTAGATGTTTGCCTCCTGAGTCACTGGAGCATGAAAAAGCTACAGACCTTTTACATAATGTGCTTTGAAATGAATCTGTAACAGCATGAGTTGTATGCCACTCCGTTTCTAAGACTTTTTTTCTTTCGTAAGGACAAGATAAACACGTAGCTCAGAATGGCATCCAGCAAGTTAAAACTGTCAAGTGTAGTCTAGGTGCAGTAATAAGGAAGGGATTGTTTGAAGTGATCCTAACCTAATGCTCTTTGCCTACTGGGATTATTTTATGTAGGCTTTTGGCATTGTACTGTCTATATGCATAACGTAAAAGGATCAAGTCAATCATGACAGGTTTGTTTCTCGCCCTCTCTGTTGTAAAACACAGATCTGCAGTATCGTGTCAAAGTTAAACAACATCCGTATTACATTCACATTTGTTTTTCAAGTGTGCCCAACTATATATCATTTATTATTCAAATTGACGGCAGCAGCACGTTAAAGAATGAATAAGACAACATGGCCATAACAATCGGCAATTCGCGTGCAATTTGGAACTTAAAAATCAAAGTTACTGTGATTTGTTCTTCGGTATTCCCACTCACACAAATGACATCAGTAGCCCCCAGTTAATCAAGGACTCTGCAGCTGCTTAAGGGATGCTGTGTTGAATGTGAATGTGGTGGTTCATCGTACTGCGTAGTCGTAATTCTGACAGGTCCTTTCCCGAGTGCAGTCTTTTACAGATATACTAAAGGCGCTTGCCCATCGGTGGCGTTTGTGTGAAACGCTGTCAGATTGACAAGAGAGGGCCCTCATATAGCTCTAAGGCGTAGTATCCTCCTCAAACCAATCAGCACATGACTGGAGGAAATCCAATCCATCACAGCTGCCATGACAGCTATGGCTTGTTTAAATTTATCTTCAAAGTTTGCTTTAAGCGAGATCAACTTGTCTTGTTTAATGTTTTACAGGTCAAAGAAAATGTCTCTAGCCTGCTGTACCGCACCCATGTCCTGCAGCTTACACTTACAAATGAGTGAAAATGTGAGCTAAATGGGTTGGAAATTGCAGAGAAGCCTTATCAGCACGTTTACAAGAAGACACCAGTTGCCCTCTTGTATTATTTAAGCATTGAGGGTGCAGTCACGGGGTGCAGTCAAACGCGCCATCAAAAGTTGCATCCTTGTTCAATGGTCGTGCATATTGCAACGATTACATTTCAGCTGTAAATGTCATTTAGAAATCTGCTCTATCTTTGGTGGAAGCTAGATAATATTTAACAATAAATACATAAGAATTCCTTCAGAATCAGCCACATTGAATTTACTATTTTTGACAAATAGAGCGTGTGAATCCTGTTGTAGATTCCTGTAG